ATGACCCAAAATCAGAATAGGAATAAACAAGGGGGAGATAATAAACAGAGAAATTATCAAAATGGTCAGAGAGGACATTATAATAACCAAAATAAGAATTTTGGTCGGGGGAACAGAAATTTCAACCAAAGAAATAATTTTGGTCAAAATAGGCAGAATCAACCTAATTTTTATCAACAGGGAAACCAGTTGAGGTCAGACTCAGGGGTCGGAACCAGACCAAGTCAGAATGGCCCAAATCGATAAAGATCAATGAATCTTTGGCAAATATGAGGGACTATTTGTAAGAGCTAAAATTAATGATAAATATTTAGCTTTTCTTGTTGATACAGGAGCAAATGTTACTATTTTGAGTAAGAAATTTATTAATGAAATCATCCCTCATTGCTTCCAAAAATTAATCCTGTGAATATTAATTTAATTACTGCTACTGGTGACAGTGCACCATTTATAGGACAAGTTGATGTTGAAATTTGTCTTGGAGATCATATTTATCACCACAATGTTTTAGTGGCTGATATTTCCAATGAAGGAATCATTGGTATGGATTTTCTTGTGACTCATGACTGTGATGTCTTATTAAGTCAAAATAAGTTGAAAATAAAAGGGGAGATAATTTAATGTTTTCATTATGCAAGTAGTGCTAAATCTTGTTATAGAGTTGCTATACAAGAGACAGTAAATGTGTCTCCTAATTTAGAAATGATTGTTTCTGGGAAGTCAAATGAACCTATTGTTAGAGGTTTAGCTGGGTTAATAGAACCTAATGAAAAGTTTATGGAGAAAAATGGTTTATTTGTGGCAAGATCAATTGTACATCCAGAGATGTATAATATTCCTTTAAGAATTATAAATGTAAATAAGGAGCCATGCACTTTATATAAGGGTACCATTATTGCTACATGCAATAAAGTCAATGAAGAAGATATTCAAACTTCTGAGTTTGTTAAAATGTGGCTGGTAGTCAAGCTACAGTAAATAAAGAGAGACAATTACCTGATTATTTACTTGAAGTATATGAATCTAGTCAAGTTAATCTTGATAAAGATCAAAGTGAAAAATTTAAAGACCTTTTAATTGAGTATAGCGATATATTCTCAAAGACCTCTGAGGACATTGGTTTAACTGATTTAGTTGAACATACCATAAATACTGGGAATCACCCTCCGGTACGTCAGCGACCCAGACGAATACCCCTAGCTAGAATAAAAGATGCTGAAGCGGAGATTCAGAAGATGGTTAAACAAGATATTATAGAACCCTCTACAAGTCCCTGGAACTCCAATATTGTTCTGGTGAAGACGTCAGACAACAGTTGGAGATTCTGTATTGATTTTCGATCCGTAAATTTACTAGTTTTACGACCATCTTACCCGTTACCTCGTATAGATTACACTATAGATTCCTCGTCAGGCTCCAAGTTCTTCTCAACCGTCGATTTAAAGTCAGGATATTATCAGATTCCAGTAGCCAAAGAAGATAGACCAAAAACAGCCTTTTCCTTTCCAGGGGGGGGGGGGGGGGGGGGGGGTGGTCTCTGGCAGTTCAATAGAATGCCCATGGGTCTATGTAATAGATTAATTTTGAAAGATTAATGGAAACAGTTTTATCAGGTTTGAATTGGAAAATTTGTCTAGTTTATCTAGATGATATTATCATTTTCTCAAAATCATTTGAGGAAAATATGAAAATGTTTAGGTCATATAGTTAGTGAAAGTGGAGTAGCTACTGACCCAAATAAAATTCAGTCAGTTAAGGACTGCCCAGTGCCCAAAAGTATAAAAGATGTAAGAAGTTTTCAAGGATTAACATCTTATTATAGGAAATTTATTTTAAAATATGCTGATAAAGCTAAACCTTTATATAAGGTTACTGAGAAAAACCAGAAATTTGTCTGGACAGACGATTGTCAACAATCCTTTGAGGAATTAAAGAATACCTTAATTAGTGCACCTATTTTCGCCTACCCTACAAGGGAGGATTTATTATACCCCACGCAACGAGTTGCGGAGGGTATAATGTTTTTGACCCGTCCGTCAGTCCGTCAGTCCTGTTTCTTGTCATCGCAACTCCTCTCAAACCACACAACAGAATTTCATGAAACCTTTTCAGATAATAAGGACATACTACGTAGATGTGCATATCGACAGGAAATTACTATTCAATTTTTTGTCTAGGAGTTACGCCCCTTTGAACTTATTTGCTTCAATATACTACTGCAACAGTTTGTCATCGCTACTCCTCTGAAACTAGACAACATAATTTCATGAAACCTTTTTAGATAATAAGGACATACTATGCAAATGTGCATATCGACAGGAAATTACGATTCAATTTTTTTCTAGGAGTTACGCCCCTTTGAACTTATTTGCTTCATTATACTACTGCAACAGTTTGTCATCGCAACTCCTCTGAAACCAGACAACAGAATTTCATGAAACCTTTTTAGATAATAAGGACATACTATGCAGATGTGCATATCGACAGGAAACTATGATTCAATTTTTTTTTCTTATACAATTTTTTTTTCTTACTGTTATTTTATTTCTCACGTGACAATTTGGGGACGTGGGGTATGTGAGCGCGCTCACTAAGGTTCTTTAATTTATTTTAGATACCAACGCAAGTAATGTTGGTTTGGGAGCAGTGCTATCCCAACTCCAAGATGGAGTAGAAAAAATGATTTGTTATTTCAGTAAAACTTTCAGTAGATCAGAGAGAAAATATTGTGTTACCAGAAGAGAGCTACTAGCTATAGTAGCCTCTATTAAACATTTTCACCATTATTTATATGGTAAATACTTCAAGGTTAGAAGTGACCATGGTGCATTAAGTTGGTTGTTTAATTTTAAGAATCCAGAAGGTCAGTTAGCTCGTTGGTTCGAGGTCCTGGCATCATATGATTTTAAAATTGAGCACAGAGCTGGAAGGTCCCATAATAATGCAGACGCCCTAAGTCGACGTCCTTGCTATAATAAAGAATGTCCTCACTGTGCTAGAGCAGAAATAAATTATGAATTGGTTCCAACTCCTAAAGACAGTTTTACGATTGAAAATTGTAATGACAGTGTCACTGTTAGTGAATCTTGCAGAAATGTTGAAGATGTCAGTGCAGAGTTGTCAGTTACAAAACCTAGTATTAGCTGTATAAATGAAGATAGGAGACCAAACATGACAAGTGACCAAAGGTGCCACAAAGTAAAAAGTCATGTCATTCATAATAAATTTAATAGTAAGGGTCCAGAGAGAAACCCTGATGTACTCCCTGTTCATTCTAAAATAGTGAGTTTGTACCAGATCTAAGGATTATGGTTGTAGTCAAAATGAGAAGGACAACCCAGTTAAAGAAATAAATTTTGAAAATGTTTCAGAATATCAGTTATCTGATGATGTAATCAGTATAATTATTCAGTGGAAAATAGATGAAGTTAAAACCATATGGGAAGATGTATCCCATATGAGTCCTGAAGATAAATTTTATTGGTCAAGATTAAATTCTTTAATTCTGGTCAATGGAATTTTTTTATAGTAAATGGGAAAGCTATAATGGAAAACATTATGATCTACATATTGTTCTTCCAGCTAATTTTAAAAGGTTCGTGTTGAACCAAGTTCATAACACAATGACCGGTGGTCATCTTGGTGTAAGAAAAACTCTGTCAAAAATTAAACAGAGATATTTTTGGTATAAAATGAGACAGGATGTTAAATTTTGGTGTACCAAATGTGATATTTGTGCTTCTAAGAAAGCACCTTGTAAAAACCTAAGGCCCCAATGAAACAGTATCTTGTGGGTGCTCCTTGGGAAAGAATGGCCATTGACATTCTAGGACCTTTACCATGTAGTGTGAATAATAATCGCTAACTAATGGTAGTTCAGGATTATTTTTCCAAATTGACGGAAGCCATACCAATTCCAGACATTGAAGCAGTTACAGTTGCTAAGAAATTTGTAGAAAGAATAGTAACCATTTTTGGGGTTCCTCTTTCTATTCACTCAGACCAAGGGTCTAATTTTGAGTCTCATGTGTTTAAAGAGATGTGTAATATTTTGGGTATTCATAAAACCTGTACAACACCATTCCGTCCAAAATCGGATAGTATGGTTGAAAAGTCGAATTCAACTATTGAAACTATGTTATCTGCTTTTGTAAACAAACACCAAAGAGATTGGGACGAATATATTTATTTATTAATGTTGGCCTATCGGTCATCAGAACATGAGAGTTTGGGTACATCTCCATGTTCCACGTTATTTGGGAGAGAAGTTAATTTACCAGTAGATTTAATTCTGGGTAGATCAGAGACTGAAAAGTCACCTTTATATTTAAAAACTGTTTACGCATATGAATTATCTCAAAGGTTGGAGGTAATTCATCAATTTGCACGAAATAAATTGAAACTTTCAAGCAACAGGATGAAAAGAAATTATGACATTGGAACTAAAACGCAAAAATTTGATGCAGGAGATCCAGTGTGGTTGCACAATCCTCGTCGTGTAAAGGGGTTGTGTCCAAAATTACAAAATAATTTGGAAGGTCCATATATTGTTGTATATAAACTTAACGATGTGATATATCGTATACAGAAAAGGTCCAAAGACCAAGCCTAAAGTAGTACACCAAGACAGATTGAAGCCTTATCTTGGAGAAAATGTTCCAATTTGGTTTTTATTAGACATGATGAATATAAGGGAAAGTGAAACCCATTCCATATATCTATCCAGTATAGTACAGTTTTTAATTTATTTATTTTATGAAAAAATATAAAAATTAAAATAGCAAATTTTAAAGGAAATGGTTTTATAATTGCAGGTCACAGTGTACACCTGTGGAATTTGCCATGATTTTACGTTTGACCAATCAATAATATGCAAAAGGCATATGAAGGAACAGCATAGTGGGTTTGGTTGGAGGTGCGAGGAGTGTATGATGGTCGTAAGCCGTAGAGCTGCCCATAAAAAGTGTGACGGGGAGTTGAAATTGATAAACCGGTCCACCATGACCTGTACAAAAGAGGAGGAAGATCAGTTCCTTTTATTTCAAAGGGAAAGAGAGGAGAAAATGATCATTGAGAAAGTAAGGGAAAAAGGAGTTGCAGAAGGACAGCAAGAAGAGATCTCACAGAAAAGAACAGGATTTGGGTTTGAAAAGCAGAGAACAGTACTGGGAGATTTATATCCTGAGAGCAATATGTTTATTGGGAAGGTTATGGAGAAAAAGCAGGAGACAAAGAAGGCGCAGGTAAAAAAAAGAACACCAGAGAAGGAAAGAGAAGAGGAGGAAAAGAAGAGGAGGAAGGAAGAGAAAGGAAAAGAGGTGGAGAAGGAGAATCAGAAAGGAAAAGAGGAGACGGAGAAGGAGAATAAGAAGGAGTCCGTACAGAAGCAAAAGGATGTCCTTTCAATTCTGTTGAAGGAGATGGAGACTTCCTCGGTGGGAAGTCTAGAAGGAGTATCTCTTTGCGATTTGGGAGAAGATGATTTTTTAGAGGACATTGAGGGATTGACTTCGGCAGTGGAGCCCATTTCTCCTCTGCCAGCTGATCCCTGTATGACCATCCCTGATATTGACATCCCTGCTATTGACCTCCCTTCATCAGAACCACCCCTCAGCTCTACTAGTTTATGCCTCCCTTTATCTACACAACCTTGCCCAACATATTCGCCAACCCAGGAACCCCTCTCCCCATCTGATTTAAGACAAGCTGCTGCAACCTACACCCCTACCCCAGTAAAGAAACTTAAATTGGAACAGATACAGAAAAGCCAACAGTCCCTGTTTTTTTATCAATATTGGTGGAACCAGGTTTGAGACCTCCGCCACAGTTTTACAGACATATCCGGAATCAATATTATCCGCCATGATCGGGGTTGACTCTCCTGTGAAGCCGTATATTTTTGATGGCCGCTATACATATTTTCTTGACCGTGATGCAAAACAGTTCCCACTGATTCTGAATTATTTAAGGAATCAGGCCCTGATTCATTCCGACATGCTTCCCAGAGATGTCCGTAGTTTACGGGAGTTGCAGGTGGAATGCAACTTCTATGAGTTGCGACACCTGGAACTCGCCGTCCAAAAGAAGATCTTGGACCTGCAGCAGCTCAGTTTGATTTAGGAATGAACATTGGGGGTGGATTTTATATATATATATATATATGTGTGTTACTCAAATATTTCTATTATGCATAATGATGAAAGATATTCTTAATGCAGTACAGTATTACCTTAGAAAAGCCCTATGATGTCTTTATGACTGAAGAAGTATAATTTATCCTTTTCTTTTCTCAGGTTTTACTGTCTAGTATTGGCTTATTTATTCACATATAGTAGAAGGTCTTGTTTATTAGTTTGTTTTATATTTATGGATTTTATATCCATTGATAGTGCTATTTGAGATTTGTGGTTGAGTTTTCATAACCCATTTACTGGTATATGAATAGATGAGTTTTAAGTTAGAGTGTATAGGATAAATTTGATATTGTTAGACAGTTTGTCTTATTGAATTTTGTTTTCCAAGTTTCAGCCAACCAACTAATTAATTGATTAATTTAATACATATATAGGTGGAAATCTGTGCATTTGAGGACAAACGCCTAGTGGTCGGAGGGCTGTGTTACGATTTAGTAATCGTATGATTAAATTAATGGATCTCGTGTTGTCCGTAATTTATAGTAATAACTTTATGAATCAGCTGTTTTATTTACGCTCTTACATCGCGGTTTTTACGATGGAATTTCACCTCGTACAGAATATTTACGGTTGGTTGGCAGGTACGTTTATGATAGATGATGTGGGAATGTGTTTACCTTTAAAACTTTCTTATTTTCTTAATATAATAACTTGTGTTTTAGCCATAGTCATCTAAATTCCAACAGTGCCATAATCTATTTACTCGAGCAGCCATATTAGTTGTGTATTGGCGGTTTATTACACGAGATTGCTTGTTTACATAACAAACGTTTTGATTGGTTGATCTACTGACCAAAAAATTATGAATAGAAGGTTGACAAAACGAACTTCAGAATTATTCTCATCGTCTGCAAGAGAAGTCACAAATTTAGCTTAGTCGTTCTATTTTAGTCAACCTGGTTTATTATAAATATGTCTGAGCCACAGTCAACCTTAAGTCTGGTACGCAGGTTTTAAATGTTTTAAGAAAAACTAAACCTTCTACACATGGCTATTGTTTGTTTTGCATAAGTCAACCTTCGACCTACGGGAAAGTCCCGTCAACCGTCGTTCCACTTACGGATTATTTTCCCACCAGTCAAACTCACTGGAATTTGCCCATAATTGTTTTGCCATTTTTTTGTAGAATTCCGCATCCTGTTTAATAAAGTTACTATAGCACAAAATTTTGAAAATGCCAGGACCAAAGTCGCCGTTTCAGGGTTTTTTAAGTAATTTAAGTGCCATTTGTTCGGAGTCACCTCATCAGACATCGACATACATTTTCGATGTATATTTGAAAATGAAGAAAACCACAAATGTTTTGCAGGTACCCCAGTCTTAAACTAAGTACTTCTAACCTAATAATTTATGAAAACTATATTCATAACGTTCTTTGAAAGAATCTGTAATCTGTACATGTAGATTTTTTTTAAAATAGACCCATAATTTATCAGAGACCTATAATACAACTTATGAGATTGAGGTTTGGGCCACGGTGGTACAAGGTTATAGGGAGCGAAAAAAGAGGGTGGAAATGGTGGGAAAAAAACAAGGTTAAAATAACAAAATTGAAAGTAGGGGCAAGCAAGATGTAAAAGGTGGTACTGAGGAGGTGCAGGGAGCAATGATGAAAGGGATTGGAAAGTACTAGTATTAGGTACCCCTAACCCCCCCCCAGGACCAAAGTCGCCGTTTCAGGGTTTTTTAAGTAATTTAAGTGCCATTTGTTCGGAGTCACCTCATCAGACATCGACATACATTTTCGATGTATATTTGAAAATGAAGAAAACCACAAATGTTTTGCAGGTACCCCAGTCTTAAACTAAGTACTTCTAACCTAATAATTTATGAAAACTATATTCATAACGTTCTTTGAAAGAATCTGTAATCTGTACATGTAGATTTTTTTTTAAAATAGACCCATAATTTATCAGAGACCTATAATACAACTTATGAGATTGAGGTTTGGGCCACGGTGGTACAAGGTTATAGGGAGCGAGAAAAGAGGGTGGAAATGGTGAAAAAAAAACAAGGTTAAAATAACAAAATTGAAAGTAGGGGCAAGCAAGATGTAAAAGGTGGTACTGAGGAGGTGCAGGGAGCAATGATGAAAGGGATTGGAAAGTACTAGTATTAGGTACCCCTACCCCCTCCCCCCCCCCCCCCCCCCCCCACACACACACACACTTATTAATAAGTCTCTGAATTTATAAATATCATAAAAGACTAGATGTAGGTATAGCCCCCTGCAGTTTTTCTTTTTATTTAAATTGTTGGTTTGTTTTAATGCAATGTGTTTGTTAAAGATCGTTAAATACAAATGATGCTCCCTCTTTATCAGTCTCTGAATTTATAATAATAGAAATAAAATAATTATAAGGAAATGTTGCCTGCTGCTTTGCTTTTGATTGTTGTGGGTTTTTTAAATGAAGTGATGCCTTTGTCTGACTAATAAAAGTCTTTGGCTGACTAAATAAAAGTCCAATTTATTATTACCTCTACCTGTCATATTGAGAATATTTGATGGAAATCAAAATCCTAAGCCATTCACACCTTATTTAATTTTATAAACATCCTGCAAAACATTAAAGCTGATCAAGCTCAAAAACTGTAGGAGATAGCCAAACAAAAAGTGTATCTATATATATCTGGATGAACAAAGTAACAGACAAGGGGTCATTTGTGGCAGCGGCATGAAAACACACATTTCTTGTAATACAACTACACCCCTGGCCTTACCATAATATAACAGTATAGGGTGAATGGTAATTGAATAAAACTGAAGCAAAAGTAAAACATGTAAAATAAGTTGAAAGTGAGGCACTAGTCTTTTATTATACTACATGTACCTTTATATACTATACTTATGCATGTCCCTTTGTCATGTATTTTTTAGGTTGTTGGTGAGGAATATGATATACCTGTTTTGACAGCGGAGGATAGGGAAGGAAACTGTGGGAAGAAGAAGAAGCAAAAGAACAGACTGTACACATGGGTGAAGAATTGCTCAAGGAGCCCACAGTTTCCTAACCCAAGCACAAGCACAAGCACTTCCATGTTGAGTGAGTACATTGAGTACATGTAGGTTAATGTGATTACAAGTAAAAATGGGAAATGCTCAATGTTGACACTCTCCTAATTGTCATATAGATATGCAGTCGGATTGAAGTATCACTCAAATCGCTTCTTCATTATTTTTCTAAAATGTGACATACAAAAAAAGGTGATGCAGTTTGATGGCTGATATATATATATATATATTTTAATGTATTAGACTGAAAATTGATACTTTTGCAAGCCAAGTGTTTCTATGTTTTAAAATGTATACTATTTCAAGCATCAACTGTAAGGTAAACTCATCAAAAATACCAAACAAATAGTAAAAAGGTACTTCATTGGATCAGTACAACATTTGTATTTAAATCATGAGGAAATCCTTGCAGCTGGATTCCTAATTCAGATAACAAAAGAGACATATATCATGTATATTTTAAAAATCTTTCTATTGTTACAAATGTATTCAATTCACTTTTTACTTGTATTTAAACATGGTAGAACATCATCAAAGATTATGATTATATTATTATTTAGTCTCCAGACAGCAATGGATAAATTTTGCCGATGAAAATGAGGATGAAGTACTTGAGTACATTAGAAGTCGTCCATCAATTTTGACCAAAGTTCAGATAACAGGTATATTGTCAGGAACAGAAGTTCCTCACGGAACCTTTGCGTCTGTCCGTCCTTATGATCTTGTGGATGAAACTCCCATAAAACCACTTGATGGCTGGCTTTGATATTCAATAGGATGTATTTGTATATATGTAGATGTGCATACTATGACCGTGCTGGATCGCATGTCAATATGTGGGGTTACTAGCTGACATTCTGCGCCCTAGTTCTGATCATATTATTTAGCATGGGAACTAACTCTTAAGAATGATGGTAGAGCATAGGTAACACATTGTCTGGTTTTCTGTAGTATGCCGCACAAGAAGTCAATAAAACACTGAGTTTGATGATTGTATATTAATTATTCACAAATAGATAAAGCATTCATATTTAAAACGTAAGTCATATAAGAATCAGTGACTAAGTCGGTGTGATGCGAACAAAGCCTGAAATTATCCAAACTCCAAAGTTAAGATATTACTTGTTCCTTTCTATTCTGAATCTCCCTGAATCTTAACAGTCTTATTGTAATATTTTGAAGGTGCTAATAGCTTTATCACAAGTACACCTCAATCCCTTTAATAGGGACTTTAAACAGACTTTAATAAAATATTAAATATGAATTTGAATCTGAATCCCTAATCCAGAATTAAGAAAGACTGTCTAATTACGTTATCTTTGAGATAAGATTTATTTGCAATACGCCCTTACTCAGTTTTGACATATTGATTTTCGAACACTTAAATTCATTATTATTATAATAAAGAAAATAAAGATTTATTTTAAACAAAATTATTTAAGGAATGACTGTAATATTTTTTCTGTCTATGAAGAAATAACATCAAAAATGTGGTGCACACTGAATAACCTGCGTAGCAATATTCTTTGAAACGGGTAATACTGGCCAGCGGGAAATGTGATTTTTAAAGCTTATTATAACAAAAAATAATAAAAACTTGTTGTAC